ACCGCATCGTCTCAGTTGAGGGGGATGTTTTCCCGGTTCTGAAACGGATGTAACTACTACGGCCCGTCTATGCGGCACCCTCAGAAAACGCATAGGGGTACTCGATCACCGCTCGCTTCATTCTATTTGCGGGGCTGCGGCCTTCACGGTTTCGTTTAAATAATATATTACAAGCGGCTGCTTAACCTTACGCCACCCGGTCCCGGCAAACTGCTCGCAGTTACGATCCGTCTGCGATTAATTGCCTCTTAGGTAATTTCTTAGCTTTCGTCTTGAAAGTAATGAAGAGATGTGAATAGAAAAGATATCCTACGCTCTTATGAAATTAGCCATCCGAATATATTCAATTAATTAAATATTGAGTAATAAATAATTAATCCAATTTTTTAAAGATAGTAATTAGTCATGAGAATAACTGTTTCTTTATAATTACGAAAATTGAATGACATCATGGAAAAATTATATAGACCAAATAATACTCGAGATAAGAGGATATTTTTAATAAATAAGAAAATAACATAAAGTTGTCCAATTGTAGCAGATGTAGATTGTATCAAGGCAATTAATTTAGAATCTGACACGCTAATCCTGTTCCGCGGATTTTGGAAAGCTGCAGAGATATATTCTCATTATCTGCCTGGTTTCGAGAAAATAAAGGCCAGGTAAGGAAATGGCGAGAAGGCCTGAGGGGTTTGGGACGGGTCTCGAAAGATTCAAATGAAATTCCGCGCTTCCGGTTTACGGGCATGCTCGATTTAGCGGATGGCTCGACGGAGAGGGCGAAAAGGATGCAGCCCGGCTCGAGCGGGATGCATCCATTTTGCATGGGTCATAAGGCCTTCTTGCACGCGCAATGCAGACGGGAGAGAGGAAAAGAGACAGAGAGAGTGAGAGAGAGAGAGAGAGAGAGAGAGAGAGAGAGAGAGAGAGAGAGGAGGAGGAGGAGAGAGGAGGAGAGAGAGAGAGAAGAGGGACCTAGGACTCCTACGCTGAGGTTACTGCACTTTGGGGACGAGTTATCCTCCCCATCAGCCACCAGAAATTCTCGCCCGAGCGTTCTCCGGCGAATTCCCGAGGGAGAAGCGTGGGCTCCTTTCGGAAGGAGCGCTTTCGCAGCTGTGAGATAACGCTTCATGGCGATTTAAATTTCTCGATGCGAACGTGCGTTCATAAACGTGTATTTATAAATAAATTATTAGAAGGATTGCCACATACCCAGACAGAAACGTTAATTAATAATTAACTCTTTTCGGTTATCCCTTACGAAATTTTCTGCTAAAAGAAAATATAATAAGTCACGTTTTATAATTTCCACATATAAAATTTTTGTTTCTTTAGAGTTATAGAATTAGTTTTGAAATGGATATTCTCGTAGGCTGCTATTTGGTGCACTCGCAACGTTCTTAAACGCCTGTACATCATTTAGAAAATAAAAAGAAATTAACTCCTGCAGTAAGAGAAAAATAAACTCGCGAAAAACGCGAGCGAAGGAACCACGGTCGCACCCTCAAGAAGGGTGCTCGAAAGCGAAATAGCGGTCGGAAAAAGGCGAGGTGAGAGAAAAGGAACATTCGAACAAAAGCGAAGGTACCAAAGGGAAAGGAAGAATTGGATTCGCGGACGAAGACGCAAAAAGAAAAGCGCCGCTTTATGAAAGCATCTTTCTGTCCCGCCACGCGGACAACATTTGTCCCGCTATCCTAGAAAAATGTACCTGTCTCTTGCAGGATGGCAGACAGCAATTGGAGAATGATTGACCACAGGGAATTACTGGCAGTGATATCGAAATGAAACGTTTCGATCCGTTCGTCCGACCGGCTACTTCATGCTTTTTAATCGCGTCGCGTCTGAGATGTCTATTTCTACTGTTTCTCTTTTTTCTTTTGGCGTAATAAAACCTCAATGTGCCTTGACTCCACAATTGCGCAGACGGGAAATTATTTTATTTCTGAAAATGTTATTATACAGCAGAGTTAGGTCATTGATTATTAAATTGATTATCAATACCAGTCCGTTAATAATTCATCGAATTTTTCAATTAAATCATGGTTATAAATATGACATAATAAATATCAAATTAATCCTAAAAATCCATTTATCAAACTGTATTTTAAGACTTGTATTAACAAAATATCATTAGCTAATGATATAATTATAAGGATCTAACAAATTTAAAAGTCGAAAAAATAGCTATTAATTTTCAAGTAATCAAAAACAATAAAAGAAGGAAGAATAGTTAAATACTCGTTATACATTCATATTTTTCCAGTTCATGATTGTTTTTCTAGCAGAGACATTTTCTTAAACTCGGCGTATAAATTCATTTATATTCATTAATCTATTTTTATTAGGAAAAAATAGACGCGTTAACATCGGAAAAGTTCTCGGATTTTTGGCAAGAAATCCGTCATGCATTATTCAAATCTTTCGAATCGGAATCGTTTTCAACCCATCACGATTCTTTCAGCTGAGAGAATAATTTTCTTTTACTATTCCTATATATGTAAATTGTTTGGCCGCGTGTATCCGTCATTAAAAGCAGAGACAAAGGGCTCGCGAGCAATTCCGTAGGTTAAAGGAAATCCTCACAGGATTGCCGTGTATCGCTTCGAGGTACATCGTCTAGGAGAAGGGGGCGCAATACAAACCACGAATAGAGGAGAAGGCGAGAATCGGGGTTGAACGGCCGTTTGCAAAATTATCGGGTAGAACGAGGGAAATCGAACGGAATCCGCGTGTGACCGCCAGCCGCAAATGCCGGATGCGATTCGCTCCTTGTCGCGCTCCCGCCGGCCGATATACGCGCGTCCTGTTCGGCCAGGACCTCCATCTGCCCGGCCCTGCTCATCGGAAATCATTGCCACGCCGCCAATTGTCAGCCGCCAGCACGTCGGATTGGCTTAGATCCCAATACAACCGATTCGCGATTCCGTCCGGCACGATCGCGTTATCCGGATTATTCGCGGTCGCGCCCCTTGAAATACCAGTTCGTAGAACGTGGAGAAGTTTCGGATTTCCGAGGCTCCGACTTCTCGAGTTAGCTCGGGTCGGGCCCGGATTCGAGCCCTCGGATTTTCCAAGTTGGAACTCGGAAAATAACTCGATAACCATAGGGGCGCAAAAATAAATGCATGGAGTTTGGTATCCTCGAGATCGCAATAGAATATTAACATCTCGAATTAGCGTATACAACTCGAAAATTCGATACGTGGTAATTGACGTGTCTCGCTTTTTTTACTAAAACTTTGAAAATGAACTTAGGATTCGCGAGGAGGATCGTCGACCCGAGATTCCAACGATTGCAACGACGGGAATCTTTTATCGCGCGTAACTTATATATAGAGTTCGAAGGGGCTGCGCAGCAAATTATCGACGGGAGCGCAACCGCGATAAATCCAGATTTAGAAAATTCAGATTTACAGAGTCGCGGGCGAGGATGTAAAGGGCCGCAGGAGTGCGCCATAAATTCGAAGGAAAAAAGGAGAACAATGCGCGCAGAGGGGCGATGGACGACCTCGTCGAAACTTCGGCAAAGTTAGTTCTCACGATTAAAGCTTACTGCCTCTTATACCGGACATGTTCCTATACATGTTTCCGGTACCTCCTTCCGAGAGACTATCGCACTCCCGGAGAGGATCTCGATAGCGCCCGCTCAGTTTGGCCGAATGAAATTTTAATTTTTGATAAGGCACCACTCGCGCCACACGCCCACGCCAGTTCTCTCGACTCTTCTCTCTTTCTTCCCCTCTTCGCGATCCGAAGCAACCTGCGTCGGTTTCGAGATATTAAATATCGCCAGAAATGCGGTGCAGTGGCGTGGAGAAATTTCGCGAAACGGCCGCACGGACAGCTCTTGTGAATCTTTTAAGGCCGTTCGGAGAGCGAGTTGCATGCTTATGCAAGAAAAAGATCTGTTTTCGTAAAGTACATTACGCTCGGTTACACCGAAGGGTCTTCGGTTAATTTCAGCTCTAACTCCCTTATTCCTTTCTAGGCTAGTCTTTAGCTGCAATTGAAACGCTACGAGGAACGTAAGAATAATCTTTATCAAAAAGTTAAAACGCCTTATTTTACATAAAAGCAAGACATTTGCATTCTATGCGTCAAATTTCTATATACGTCACATTTGCATTTTTTAAAATAAAACTTTGAATCGTATACATTATCCCGTTTTATTATAAATTATCATCTAACTAAGTAATATCCTAAACTAGAGAGATAATTAATCTTAAGTCGCTTCCATCTGCGAATTCTAATCAGCTCTGGGCTATCGGATAGCGGTTGACAATGTAGAAGGGGGGTTCCGCATGTCACGAAACGTGAAGGATGGCGGAGGGTGGGTCGTGACAATAACGCAAAGGTGAGTAAATGGGAGAGAAGAACAAGAGAGAGAGAAAGAAAAAAAGAGAGAGGGTGAGAGAGACAAGGAAAGAGAACGAGTAGCAGAAGTGGGTATTCTATGGCATGTGGTTGCACTCATACATTCAACAGACGGAGCAAAACGACACGACCCAGGGTGACGGAGCGACGAAGAGAGATGGAGGAAGTATACCGCGGAAGGCTTCCCGTTGCAGGGACGTAAGCCGAGAGGTGAAGGGTGGCAGAGCAGTACGTTACGCCATGTGTGAAATTACAATCACCCACCCCTAATGCCCTCGCCCTCGACTCAACTCCGTTCTCGCGCACGTCTCATGGACGCATGAAATATATGGGGTGCTTGGAACTCGTGTGAACATCGAACGCATGCCTCAGTAGTTAAATAGTTACATTTTACGACATATACATCGATCTTTCCCTTACTTGCAATTACCGAAATAATTTCATGCTCCAGTAGTTTTAACATTAGACATTGATTTATATTATAATTACGCGAGTCACACACAGAAAGTACACCCTATGTATGCAGCTCGGTTTAAATCTCGCTTGTGTATCTGATGCATCCACACGACCGGTGGCAGGAGACATGTATTGCGAAGGTTCGGCGTACTCGGCTCCTCTCTCTCTCTCTCTCTCTCTCTCTCTCTCTCTCTCTCTCTACGTTACGTTACGTTACGTTACGTTACGTTACGTTACGTTACGTTACGTACGTACGTACGTTACGTACGTACGTACGTAGTACCGTACGTAGTCCCCCCGTTTAAAAGTTTTACCCCCCCCCCGTTACCGGGTTTACGGGTTTA